CCCGCCTGCTGCGTCCCGTCACGAGCGCTGACAGGGCCCCAGAGCGCGGCCGGCCCGTGTCCCTGCTTGCCGCGTGCCCCGCGTGCCCGCCTGCAAGGGCCTGTGCGTCCTCTTGCGAGGCGCGGCAGGGCCCGTGTGCCTGGCTGCTGTGTGCTCCATTACAAGGGGTGGCAGAGCCCCATATACACGGTCGCAAGAGTCAGTGTGCCCTGTTACAAGGGACAGCAGGGCCCTGCGTCCCTGCTTGCTGTGTGCCCCATTACAAGGGACAGCAAGGCCCCACATACCCACTTGCAAGGACCCGTGTGCCCCATTACAAGGCACAGCCAGGCCCTGTGTACCTGGTTGCTGCGTGTCCTGTTACAAGGAACAGCAGGGCCTCGTGTGCCTGGTTGCAAGGCCCCGTGTGCCCTGTTACAAGGCACGGCAGGGCCCCGCATACCTGGTTGCTGTGTGCCCCGTTACAAGCGCAGCAGGGCCCTGTGTCCCTGCTTGCTGTGTGCTCCGTTGCAAAGGGTTGCAAGGCCCTGTGCGCCCCATTACAAGGGCCAGCAGGGCCCCGTGTACCTGGTGTGCCCTGCTACAGGGGACAGCAGGGCCCCATATACCCGGTTGCAAGGCCCTGTGTGCCCCATTACAAGAGACAGCAGGGCCCTATGTACCTGGTTCCTGTGTGCCCCATTACAGGGGCTGGCAGGGCCCCATATACCTGGATGCAGCGCCCTGTATGCCACATTACAAGGGACAGCAGAGCCCCATATTCCCAGTTGCAAGGGCCCCGGGGGTGGGGCAGGGCAAGAGGCTGTGGGGGTTAGGTCCCTGCTGGCGCTTGGGCAGTGGTGCTGTGGGGTGGACGTGGGGAGTGGGTGATTCTGAGTGCAGGATTGAGGCCGCGGGCTGGGCCTGGCCTGCACCCCAAGGGCATCCCAGGTCAGTCAGGTCCAGGGCACCTGTCTGAGGGAGGTTCCCAGTGCCATGGCTACGCATTGTAAATCCCTGTGCTGCTGCACCCAGTCAGCAGCAGCTGGTGCTGGGGATGAGCTGCGCCTCTGCTAACCCGCCTTGCCCCCTTGAGAGCAACTGGCACAGCAGTGTCCCTAAGGGTGTGATTTCTTTTGCATTCCTGACCACCACAGCTATGTTAGCAAAGCTGTGGAATATAGACGCAGCCTGTGCTGGCAGCTGTTGGCTTTCCATGGGGTTGCTCCCAGACTAACGGGTATAATTTGCTTTCCAGGTGTCCACTGCGGAAGGCACGTGACCTCCCATGGCCTGGCTCTGAACTGCTGCACGGACCTCAGGTGGTTCGACCACATCGTTCCTTGTGGACTGGAAGGGCTGGGTGTCACCTCCCTGAGCGAGGAGCTTCAGAGGCATGTCACAGTGGATGAAATCCTAGAGCCTTTCCTAGACGCCTTTCAGGAGGCATTTCAGTGCACACTGACATTCCCCGAAGAGCCCGCATGTGACGGCTGAAAGGTATGCCTGAGTGATAAAGATGCTTGCTGAAGATTAGACCAAGTGTTTTTCTGTATTTGTTTAGATATTAAGCTATGGGTTGTTGCTAAAAGCCTAATTAAAGTTTAAGATGTAGTGAGGCCTTGTATAAAGTAAGGCCTAGTAAATTTAGCAAAGCCTAGAAGTAGTGAGGCCCTGTGGCGCAGTTAAAATTACCTTATCAAAGGATTGCAAGGCCTGTACTGCTATTGTTCAGTCTAAGGACAGTTGAAGTAAAAGAAATCTGAGCGGTCGTACGTTATCAGTGTCCTTCAGAAACTAAAAATTAGCTGGAAGATCTGGAAACCATTCAGAAGGAAGATGCAGCTCTGTGAAAAGGGCTAGTTAGCTGTTGTCTGGATCAGTGGGCCCGTAGACCTCAAGGAGCCCAAGAACTGCATTCCAGGGTCCTTCCTGGTACCCCTCGGACAGCGCCAATCTGGGACGCCTGACTTTGCTGAACTTTGTGGAAAGAGGAACTTGCTGTGTATCAGGCATCAGAGGGGACTGCCGATATGTTGCTGATGCAAGTTGCTTTTGTCTGTCATTGTTTGTCTTGTTACTACGCGTAGTTGTGTTTGTTAAGTCAATAAATCTTACCTTTCTACCCCTGACCACGCTCTCAATCCAAACCCTCCACAGGCGGCTGGGACCTAAATTGGCGTCACAAACAGGATTGAGAGGCTCTGGTCTGGAGAGAAAGGGCAGAATGGAAGGAGTTGCGTGGGCCCCGTTAGTGGCTTTGCTTAAGGAGGTGACAGGGATGGAGAATCCCAGATGGGATAAGGATAGGTTGAGACCTGCCTGGAGTGACCCGGGAACTGTACCCGATCATTGGGCTGGGTTTGCTGCTGCTGCCTGGGGTAAGCCTGAGAAGGGGTGCCTGTCGTGGCTGCTGGCAACATGCCTGTGGTTAGGGGCTGAAGAGAATGGCTGGCTCCGGGAGGAGGTCACCCGGCTGAGTAAGGAGTTAAAAGACATGAGAGATTCCAACTGTGAGGTGGTGCGAGCTGCGCAGAGCTGCTTGGAGACATTAGAACAGAGAGAAGGAAAAATTATGATCACCCACGTGGCTGCTTCCCCCCAGAAGAGAGTGCAGTTAGCACAGGCTGTGGAGCCATCCTCCCACAAGTGTCTGTATAGAGATAAACCAGAAGTTGAGCTTTGGGAAGATCAAAGGGATAAGACTGACGGAGTGGAGGAGATTGATGACGAGCCTGGTCCTGAAACACCCCTGTACGTTCCTGCCCAGAGGGAGGAACCTAGCCACGCCTTCCCCGCCCCGAGGGAGAAACTCAGCCAAGTTTTTCCCATGGTGATAACTCATTCAAGGCCGCAAGGAGAGAATCGCCGAACAGAGCTGCATTCCTTCACCCGTGCGGAGATTAAAAATATTCAAAAGCAGCAGAAGTCCAAGCCAGAAGAGCCAGGAATAGACTGGCTAGTTCAAATGCAGAATTTGGATACCTGTACAGATTCAGTTAGGTAAAACTAAAAAGTCAGTTGATATGCTATTAGACACTGGTGCCCAGATGTGCATTTTAGATTCTGCAGATTGGAAGGGGGAGAAAGGAACCCCTTATCAAGTAATTGGAGTCGGAGGCACCATGATATCTGGCATGAGCAACCTTCGTGTTTCCTAATGGCTCTAAGGTAACAGCGGCAGCAGTAATACTTAAAGGGGGACCAAGCTTACTGGTACTTAATGTACTAAGAAGACAGCGGTTTGCCCCTGAACAAGAGAATTGGTAGTTTGGGTGCACAGTGCCTCACCGAGAAACAAAAGAAGCCGCTATAACAGCTGTAACTTGATGTAGCATGATCCCACTAACCCTGCCTCCCATGAAAGGAGTACACAGACCCCAGTATCGAACTCCCCCCGAGGCCACCCAACCTATCCAGTGTATCATAAGTCAGCAGTCACAGGACGGGACTATTATCCGAACCCACTCTCCGTATAACAGTCCAGTGCGGCCAGTGCGCAAGCCAAATGGAAGGTGGTGGCTGACTATTGACTTTCGAGCTTTGAATGCTAATACTAACCCCTTGATGGACACTTGTGCAGCACTGGAAACTCTGCTAGCTGTGTATTCACCACCTATAGAACTACAGAGCAATAACGGCCCTCACTTCCACAACCATTTTGTGTATGACTGGACCGCGAACCATAGCATGTTATGGACATATCACATCCCACACCATCTGCAGTCTAGTGGATTGGTAAAGTGAGCCAATGGCATCCTCAAATGCAATTTGCGGTTGGCCGCTGGCCTAGCTCTTAAAGACTGGGACTTGCACCTGGATCGAGCTATCAATTGGGCCAATAACTGACCCCGTCCAGGAGGTAGCCGCATGCAACATGCCTTTGGATTGGGTGGTCCCCGCGAGTTGGCAGTAGAGTGACCTAGGGGTGGTGAGCTGGGAAAACTCCGGGCAGGAGATTGAGTAGTAGTGAAGTATCCTTGAGATAAATGGGAGAGGACACTATTAGCAAAAAGTATGCATAATACATGGTGGGTATTTAAGTCAGATTCATCTAACGGGAACCAAGCTCCTTGTTGTCTTGTTCCTACAGATTGGATCTGTCCACAAGTGCAGCCATAACCATTCCTCATTGAGCCTGCCACTGGAGATGAGTCCTGCTCTGTCAGCGGTCTGAATCGATTGGCACCATGAAGTGGTGGACTGTTTTGAATGTACTCTTTTTATTAATGCCTTATTGTGTTTCCTGGGTAGGGCATGTCTGCTATCCTTCTTATTACCCACATATTAATGAACTTGCTCCTGAAGACCTCAAGGAGTGGCCTGACCCTGAAGAGCATCCCCCGGAAATGCACTCAGATGGCCTTCACATGGTCCAGCTGCAGTATCCATACTGGAAGAAACCCGCCACCCCAGAACAAGTGAAGTCCTGGTCTCTGAGTAGAAGAAACAGGATAGTTGACTAGCAAAGTGGTAACTGTCAGTGCACCTGTGGCACCAGGTATTACCTTGGGTTCATTCACTACCTGAAGGCTAGAATGGCTGACTGGGAAAAGAGGTGATTGTTGTAGCTCTGCTTGTTTGGGAATTTGTTGTTACATACTTCCCGAGGGGAACCCCGTTGAGCTCAGTGCCCCCGAGTTTGTGTCCCCAATGGTGCATTCTGCATCTGTTCAGCCTCTCGAGCCACTGCGTTTATGGGAGAATCTGCCTCCTCCCGTTCCTATGGCTGGTGGTATGAGGCCCTCCTGTTCCTATAGCAGTGGTGTGAGGCCCACCAGGAGGGAGAGCGCATTACAGGTTGGAACAAAGTTATTACATGGTTTGTGAATCATATCTACACAAAGGCATGGTGGAATTGTACCCACTTCAATACAACCAGAAGAAGGCTGTATCCGCAGGTCTCCATCACTTATCCTCATCCTTTCATACCAGTGGGATTCCTAAGGCAAATCAGTGCTATGATCCTGCCAGGGCAATGCCATTTCATTAACCCGATACAGCATCATCCTGTTTCGCTCTCTGGGAGGTGAAGCATAGTTACAGGCTCCCAAAGAAGGAAGGATAAATGTAATCTGTGAGAAAGCGGGGTGTTCACTACTATCTCTGGCTGTTCCCCCACGGGAGGCGCCGACACTGCCCACGTATAACTCCACATCCTGGTGGAGGTCACAAGTTAAAACCCAACCCTCGTAAATGCTTCGTTGTTCACTGCCGGAGTATTGTTCAGACCAGAACAATGGTATGTCTGAGCTACTTTTCTAAACTGTTCAGCAGGAGCCTGGGTAGCCGAAGGGTTGCTTAGCTGAGAATGGCCAGTCATTTTCCGTTTCGTAAGTGCATTTAAGTCCCACAGACACAGAGATACTCCAGGTTATCTTTGGGACGGACTTAACTTAGCTATGAATGTATGAAACTTGGATAAATCCCAGAAAAACACTGAAGGAGTAGCCAATCTCCAACAGGCAGTAGGTCTTCTCACTAGGGGAGGCATGCTTGAAAGAAAAACGTTAGAGGAATGCAAGGCTTGTACTGCTATTGGTCAGTCTAAGGACAGTAGAAGTAAAAGGAATCTGAGTGGTCGTATGTTATCAGTGTCCTCCAGAAGCTATAAATTAGCTGGAAGATCTGGAAACCATTCAGAAGGAAGATACAGCTCTGTGAAAAGGATTAGTTAGCTGTTGCCTGGATCAGTGGACCTTGAGGAGCCCAAGAACTGCATTCCAGGGTCCTTCCCGGTACCCCTCAGATAGTGCTGATCAGGGATGCCAGACCTCACTGAACTTTGTGGAAAGAGGAACTTGGTGTGTATCAGGCATCAGAGAGGACTGCCAATACATTGCCGACACAAATTGCTTTTGTCTGTCATTGTTTGTCTTGTTACTACGCGTAGTTGTGTTTTTGTTAAGTCAATAGATCTTTCTTACCTTTCTACCCCCCAGTCATACTCTCAATCCTAAACCCTCCGCAGGCAGCTGGGACACCCATGGGCTCGCCCCCCTGGGTGGAAGAAACATGAACATGCCCAGGCACTTCCTGGAAATCCGGCTGGAAAGTTGTATGTATTGCTTCGGGCAGCATATTTAAAAATGGACCTTTAAATATACATGATATGCAGATGCTGGGTGTGTGATCTTGGATGTGTTATTTCAGCTTCTTGGGTCAAACCACATCTGGAACTGAGCAAAAATAAAAGGGTCTGATTTCTCATTTCCATAACCTCACCCTGCATCCTACTGATGGGGTACAGGGCCCCTGAAAGAGGTGCGTATATCATATATGCCAACTATAGGAGGTAAAGATGCTATAGGGAACACGGTCCCGGGACTTTGCCAGGAACTTGTGCTGTGTCTGCCTTGGGGGGAAAGCAGGGGAGGCAGGTGATGTGGGCCCAGCTGGTAGGATCCTGCTGTGCCTGGTTTACAAAGGAAAAGGGATGGACTGGGAGAATGGGGATGGGAGATGAAGCTACCAGGCAGGTGTCTCTCACCAGCACTAATTCACTCAAGATAGCAAGGCTAGGTTTGTATCCTTCAGGGGCTTGGTGATGGAGCAGCTAAGGCTCCTACTGTGGCTCCAGATGCATCACCTCTAGATCATCCCAGACGCATCCATCATCTAGATCATCCCATCCGGCTAGACAAAGCCCTGGCTGGGATGATCTAGTTGGGGCTGGTCCTGCTTGGAGCAGTGGGTTGGACTAGATGTAACTCCTGAGGTCTCTTCCAGCCCTCATTTTTTATGGTTGGATGAAACCTTTCACCTTGCATCATGTCATCTCTTAATATTTTTGGCAAATAACTCCATTTTTTTTATTTATTCGATGTATATGCTGCCTTTCCTCCCCACTGAAAGGCAACTGACAATAAAAGAAAAAATAACTTAAAGGAACAGATAACATATCACAGATGAGGATATATAAGATGTATAATAAAAGGTCCCCAACCAGTGCTCCAGCTTAACCTGGCTTGGTAAACACCTGCCCGTATATAAAGGTGCTAGAAGATGTTCCGGTTTGGGCTGGCATGTGTGGGATAACTGATGCAGACACGTAGTTGTTCGTCATCTGATTGACCCCTGTGAGCTCCCTCCTGGGCTCCCAGTGCCCTGTCATGACCTTGGGGAAGCGCTATTTTGACCCTGGCACCCTCCATCCAACAATCAGGGTCTTAGCAACTCTCGAGCCCTTATTATTATCTCTGGGGGGTTGTTCAGAGAAGCAAAAGGGCTATCCAAACCCTGAGGACAGATGCAGGGGGGCAAGGCATGGGCAATGCATGCACCTTGGGGAGACCGAAGTCTAATTCTTGGCTTAGCTGTGACTCTCTGGAGCCAAACCACGGGCGAATCACTGGGGAGAGATTGTCAAAGGTCCAGGGGGTGTTTGGGCACCCAGGGAAGGTCCCTGGGGTGTGGGTGCACACCCCCTGCGTGGGTCTTAGTCTCAGAGTCCTCACTTCTCTGCGTATACAAGAAGGGTGCAGTAATGGCTGGTAGACGGCCATTGGGTACAGTGGTTATGAGGCCCCTGCACAGGCCGAGGCTGTCCAGGTGAGGCGTGGCTCTTCGGAGCTGCTTATTCAGGCTGTCCTGCCTCAGCCTGGTGGTGATTCAGCATCCAGACATATGGAAGGGCTTTCCGCCCAGCTCTCCAGCCCCTACAAGGACCCTGCAGAGCAGTCAGGTCTTCCTAAAGTCAAGAGAAAATAGTAGCATGGAAACCACGCACGTCACCAAGAAGGGCCCATGCCTTTGCCCTTCCCCTGCAGCCTCAGGATGCAGACTCTGAGCATGAGCTGTTGCCTGGGGGGTCAAGGCAGCTATAGTTTTGCTCAGGATTGTCCATACTGATGGTTTCTTTGGTCTGTGTCCAGCTGTTACCTCCTGCCTTGGAAATGGGAAGTTTGGGTGTTGTGTTGTGTGCTGTGTCTGGATCGATTTAGTTGTACTAAAGCGGTTACGTTCTGGATTTGTCTGGGATGGTTTGGACAGGGCTCATCCTGCCTCAGGCAGGGGGTTGGATTAGGTGTGACCTCGGCAGGCCCCTTCCAACTTGACTTCTCTTTTCTATGAGGCAGGCACCGTTTCTGCCATGTGTGTGCACGGTGTGTGACCCGATGGGGTCCAGGCCTGTGCCAGGAGCCATGCAACAGGTGCAAATAAGGATGCTGACATGGTGAAGGGTGTGTTCAGGAACCCAGCGGACCTGTTAGGACGTATGCAATGTTAAAGAAGGAAAAAAATGCAGCTTATTCAAGTCTCCAGGCTTGGCCTGCCTGAAAGAAACAGGACCATTAATAATTGATCAAGGAAAGATTACTCCAGAAAAACCGGACGGAAGCACTGTCGGTTTGCTTGTCTGCTGAGGTGCCAAGGTGAGCGTCTTGCGTAATGCATTGTGCATTTATCCCCAGGCCCTCAGCCAGGCCCCAAGGAATAGCTTTGGTGAATAATAGCTCATTCTTCCCACGCGTGCACAAGAATGCCAGTGGCTTCTTTGAAAATCAAAGGCTCTGAATTACGTTGTCAGAACGGGCTGAGAAATGGGGCCGGGGGCAGATGGAAATCAGCAAAAGCGCGGCTGCGGCTCCGTTGGCGAGAAAGGCAAAACGGCAGCATGGGGAGAACGAGCTGCAAGGGCAGGCAGGGAAGTAGGAAGGCGATTTGAGATGAGCTGTTCCAAGGTCAATATTTGGCTTGAAAACACATTACAAGCTTTCTCATTAAATGGGTTTTTCCCCTCCATTGTTTGCTGCGATTGGGTCCGGGAATTTGGTTTCGGTGGCAGCCTGAAACCTGCGGGCTGATTGATCACAAAGCAGAAGAGCACGTTCAGAGGGGAGAAAAGGAGATCAGCTAGAGCAGAGGTGTCCAACAAAGTGGTCCACGGGCTATATTCCCTGCTGTGTACGTGCCTGTGGGTTATACTTGCTCTAGAGAAGGTGGGCTCCACCTGTTGTGGCTTCAGCAGCTGCTGCAAGTAGAAGCTAGGGCTTCACATGAATTTGCCTGGGTGATTTTGCCAGTCCAGCCCTGGGAGAAGATGACAGGTCAGATGAGCCACCTCTGGGCCTGACCTGGCCCGTGGTCCATAGGTTTGACACCCCTGCTTTAGAGAAGTGAGTGGGGACTATGCTTGCAAGCCCTTCTCAACCTAGAGCGGCAGTTTTCCTCCAGCCGGGACTAAAACATGCAGCTTGAGGGCTGACACCAGGGCACACTGTGTGTGTTGCTGCCCCCCCTGCCCTATACTGGCACAGCTAATCCCATCAATTAGTGAGAAGCAGATGATTGCTACTTAGCTCTGGGAATGCAAAAATCTTCTTGGTCTAATAAAAGATACCAACTCTACTATGAGTCCTGATTGCCTTTT